GGGGGGGTCAAATTGGCCCCCCCCCCCCAGTAGGAATAGGGTTAAGCAATGTACAGAGTGACATTTCAATATAGATTACTAAATAAAAAGGTCGATTTATATATTGGACCACTGATCCCTGTCCATTTGTCTGTTTTTCGAAATTTCAAAAATTGTTTTATCTAAGGCTTAAAAAAATAGTATTTCTGATTCTCAAAAAAATATCTTTCATAAAAAAGATTTTTTGCTCATAATTGAATAGATTACTAAGGAAACTTTTAGGATTTAATCGTTTCTAAACTCTTTATTTCAAGAGGGATGTTATGTCACCCATCTTGATTAATATTGGGCATTTTTCTCGATTACAAAAGAACTATTGTTGCAAGAAGGATTTAAGAATTTTTACTGTTTGAATGTTCAGCAAAATAAACGAATTTTTACAGCAAAATGAAAATGGTTTTTATTAAATAAATCTTAATTCGAGATAAGCGAAAGAAAATTTACCTTTTTAGCAGTTTTGGGAGCCTCTAATCCCAACTCAATAAGAACTCCAACCTTATCTTCATCCTCCATCTTCTCTGGAAAAATATAAAAAGAATTGACGAATTGACCGATTAGTCCTTAGCATCTCCAATTCCGTCAGCATTGATGGCAAATGTTGCCTCTCCTTCGGGTAGACAAGGACTGGCGTAGATCTTACATATTCTAGTCTCTCCTCGACCCTTTCTAAAATATAAAATCCTTAATTTAAAGAAATTAATCCGGAAAAAATGCAACTATGTTTTTAATCTGTTCAACGCTTTTACTTATTCTATTTTTAAGGTTAAAATTCAATTTCTGAACTATAAATCAGAAGCAAACAAGAAGTAAAGATCAGTAATTTAAAATTTTAACACAAAGAGGTGGTTGGTTACGAATTCATCTTTATAGTCAAATGAAATTAGGAAAGCTATGTCGAAACCTTAACATTTCTCAAAAAACTTGAATTTGATTTTAGATGTCATTTATTTACATATTGTACGTAAATCGTTTTTAAAAATCCACAAAGTGTGCACGAAACCGGTTTCAATGGGATATAAAAGACGCTTTATCGCGTCGAAAAAATAAAGAACCTTTTTAACCTAAAGAATAATCATTCTCTGAAATTGAATCATCAATATATTTTTACCTCAAATATAATCTGGTAGTGGATGCATGCGCCATAATATTTCCACCAATAGGTTTCTTTGGATCTGCATTAAACATAGCGGCACCGTCTACTTGAGCAACAACCTACAAACATCAGATGGAAACCATTTATAGACTTAAGAAAAAACCATCCCAATTATCTAGATGATTACAAAGAAATCTAAACGCTCAAAGATGTAAAAACAAAGTTTATTGTACAACTCAAAGGTCAATTACTCTCTCTTTCTGGTTTGTTATTGGGAGTATCGACAATTCTGGCTTTTAAGACATCTTTGGGCGGTAAAAATGGCCTAGTTGAGATTAAATGTGTACAATTCCTTTAAAATAGTTATTCTTTTAAAGCCTTAATTACCTGATTTGTAACGACGACGGCGACACCAAATTCGTCGCTGATTTTGAGCAATTGTCGCATAAATTGAGCCAAGTGCATCTGGCGAGCTGACAGTTCACCCCGACCAGAATAATCAGTTCTGAACATTTGTAATAAAATTATTTTAGTTAATCATTGGACGAAGAAATAAGTTAGATTTTTGTTTCTTTAAATTTTAAATAAGATCTTGTTTTTTTGTTTAGTAACTAAATGCACTTTATCTGCGATATTTGACGAAGTGGGAAAATATCAACAAAAACGTCACCAGGAAAAAACTTGTATTCTAAAAAATGCACTTACATAAAGAAGCGTCAACAAATGAGAGATCATTAAACTCTTATAGTTAAATGATACATTTCTAAAATTAACGAAAAAAAATTTTAAAAAATTGGAAGTTAACTTTGATGTTAAAGAACAAAGATCCGCGTCAAAATAAACAAAAATGCATTTCAGAGCCAAATATTTCAGCAAGATGAAAACAAAACCTGTAGCAAGCTGTAGCACTATCAACTATAACAATTGCATATCTTGATTCTGACATAATAGCAGCAGCCTAAATCATAGAAAACTAAAAAACTAACTTCAGAATTCCGTAGCTTATATACATTTATTTCTCAAAAATAAAACTTATTTTCTAACAGGATACTGTAT